GCTGCTTGGCCTGCTGTGTTCATCCAGCCCTGCACCTTGTTGTCTCGTATTGACTTATTTTTTCTAAGTGTACACTAACCTTATCCTGTATTATGGCCTCCATCAGTTTTCCCACTGTGATGTCAAGCTGACATGACTGTCATTTCCCGGGTAACAAGATATTAGTGGTCACGGGTATTGTGTAAAATTTTCTTTCAAGTTAACTCGTTTCCTCAGTGTTGGAAACAAGGTTGTTTAAGGGTCAACCAGACCAGCTCCAGAGTTGATTGAGAGCAGGGTTGCATTATTGGTATTTAAGGTGTGTGTTCCTAGGTGTCTTATGGTGCTGTGGTAGTGTCCCAACCTCTGGGCCAGAAGGTCTGGCTTCAAGTCCCACCTATTCTGGAGACATGTTGTGTCATAACATGTCCAAACAAGTTGATATTCAAAAAAATAAATGCGTTTGTCTCATGGACACTGTTTGTAATTTGATGAGAGGTGTAGTTATTTTTTAAAAGAACTCAGATCTTGATGGGCAGTTTTGTTATTGGGTGATTTGTTGATTTGTTAATGGGTGATTTGTTGATTTGTTAATTGGCTTTCCAGTTTTTGTTAGCTTAGAAATCTTTTGCTTTCCTTTTGATTGCACTTCAACCCCACTCTCCTGATAAACCATCAAACCATACAAAATAGGAACATGAGTAGGCAGTTCAGCTCCTGGAGTCTGTTCTGCCATTCAGTAGGATCATGGCTGCTCTGACACTCTGCATGTCTACTTTCCTGTCCTTTCCCCATAACACTTGATTCCCCTACTGATCAAGAATCCATATATCTCAGCCTTAAATAGATACAAGGATTCTGTCCCTACATCTCTCTGCAGCAAGGATTTCCAAAGACTTAGAATCCTCTGAGAGAAGACATTCCTTCTCATCTCAGTCTTAAATTGGCATCCTCCTATTCTGAGACTATGCCCTCTGGTCCTAGACGCTCCCTGTCAGCATTTATTCTATCAAGCCCCTTAAGAATCCTGCATAGGATACTAAGAACTGCCTATGTTGGAGTCAGAGATAACACATTGTGGAGCTGGATGAACACAGCAGGCCAGGCAGCATCAAAAGAACACTTTCAAGTCTAGACCCTTCTTCAGAAATGGGGCGGGGCCCACCTTCTAATTGACAGAAGGCATCATCACGTGGGCCTAGGGGCGGGCCCAACTTCTGATGGACGGTGTGCATCATCACGTGGAGCTAAGGGCGGGGACTACTTTCTGATCGACGGTGGACGCGGTCACGTGGGTCTAGGGGCGGGGCCCACTTTCTGATTGACGGATGGTATGCACACGTGGGTCTAGGGGCGGGGCCCAGCTTCCGACGGACGGAGCTCATGATCACGTGGGTCTAGGGGCGAGGCCCAGCTTCTGATTGACAGGGCCTGGGTCACGTGGTGCGGGCGGCTTACTCTCCTGCGGACGGCTGGATCGGTTGCCGTTCGGTCATTACAAGGGCGGAGATGATGGCGCGTCTGCTGCTGTTCCGGAGTCAGTTCGTCGTCGCTCGGCAGTTGCGGGCTTACAACGACGGTAGCCAGGTATCAGGCCAGGGTAGGGGAGGGCTGTGTCTGGCCTGAGAGCCCCGGGAAGGGGAGGAGCGGAGTAGCGGAGTGATAGCTTGGTATGATGTCGGGCCCGGTGAGTGAGTGATGAGGCAGGCCCAGGCCCAGGCGGGGGCGGGGAGAAGCCCCGTCCATCTGCTTCACCCCTCTGATGTCCCCACTGCACTCTCCTACCCTCCACCTTCCTCACCCCCGCCCAAAACAATCCAAGGTCATTGCACTGGGTGGAGCTGCCCTCCCCAGGCCCAGTGACTGGAGCCTGGGCCTTGATTTGGGGAAGGGGGGGGTGGGTCTGGGTCGTGAGGTGAGCCTGGCTGGGAGGGTGGCATTCCAGAGCTTTATGCAGGGCTAAAGTTCGGGGTGGGGGTGAGTGCTGGGGGAATTAAATCTCACTCTGCAGTTCTGAGGAAGGGTCACCGGACCCGAAACACTAACTCTGTTTTTTCCTTCACAGATGCTGCCAGACCTGCTGGGCTTTTCCAGCAATTTCTGTTTTTGTTCCTCACTCTGCAGTGTTTTGTCTTAGCAGCAGCAACGCCCGCTAGAAGAATTCTTGCTCCATTTGCTTGTACACTGTTGTTAAATTAACCAGTGTCAGTGAAAGATGAGGATTGGGGAAGGATTAAACAAGTTAGCCTGTGATTTAATATTTTCCATGTTTTAAGTTTCAACTTTCAATTATTTTAGTTTGTCAGCAGGATGTGGGTGACATTGGCTGAATGCTGTCTGTTACTTAATTCCCCTAGAGAAGTTAATGGTGAGCTCTTGGACTGCAGCTTGAGCTGTAGGTAACCATAGTGTTTTTAGGGAGAAGTAAAGAAACTGATGTAAACAAGGGTAGTGTGTAGTTTGTAGTGGAACGTGCAGGTTATGCATCTGCCTTTGGATAGTAGATGTCGTGATTTGGAAGCTGCATCTAGAAAGCATCAGTGGTAGAGGGGTCAATACAGTGTGGAGCTGGAGGAACATAACAGTCAGGCAGCATCAGGAGCAAGAAAGTTGATGTTTTGGGTTTACACCCTTCATCAGGAGTGGGGAGATGGTGGGGCTGGGGGAAGGTAAGTGGAATGGTGATAGATGGATGCAGGTAGGGGGTTGTGGAGACAGGTCATGGGAAGGGTGGAGTGGACATGTGAGAAAGAAGATTGACTTTGTGTCAAGTCAAGGAGGTAGGGATGAGAGGGAGGGTTGGACATGGGATGAGGTTGGGGTTGGGGAGATTCTGAAACTGAATTCAATGTTGAGGCCATTGAGCTGTAAGCTCCCGAAGTGGAATGTGAGGTGGTGTTCCTCTAGTTTATGTGCAATGTCATTGTGACACTGGAGGAGGCCCAGGATGGGCATGTCCCCAAAGGGTTGGGTGGGGCGAGCGTGGTGGTTAAAATGGTCGGCAACTGGAAGGTGCTGTTGATTATAGTGTCTGGAGCATGAATGCTCCGTGAATCGGTCAGCAAGTCTGTGCTTGGTCTCACCGTAGAGGAGACAATATTGAGAACAACGGATACAATAGACCAGGTTGGAGGATGTACAAGTGAATCTCTGTTGGATTTGGAAAGATTGTTTGGGGCCTTGAATGGAGGTGAAAGGGGAGGTGTACAGGCAGGTGTAGCACTTCCTGCGGTTACAGGGAAAGGTGCGGGGTGTGGTGGGGTCAGTGGGAAGTGTGGAGCGGAAGAGGGAGTTGTAGAGTGAGCAGTCCCTATGGAAGGCAGATGTGGGTGGGGAGCGAAATATCTCTTTGGGGTCAGATTGCAGGTGGCAAAAGTGGCGGAGGATAATGTGCTGGATGTGGAGGTTGGTTGGCTGCTCTGTCCTTATTTTTGTTGGGGAGAAGGGCTTTTAAGGGCAGAACTGTGGGAAATGCAAGAGATGCTGTTGTTGGCGTTATGAATCACTGGATGGATAAGTTATGGTCCTTGAAATAGCGGGACATCTGGAATGTTCGGGAGTGGAACACTACATGTCCGAGATGGTCCAGGTGGATTTGAGGTTGGCATGAAAGGCGTTAGCAAAGTTGATGGACTGTTCACGCTCCTCGTGGGAGCACGAGGCAACACCAATACAGTCTTCAGTGTAGCGGAGGAAGAGGTGAGGGATGATTCCAGTGTCCCTATAGAAGAGGGACTGTTCCACGTATCCTACGAAGAGGCAGGCATAGCTTGGACCCAAGTGGGTAGTAGGATGCCTGTCAAGTAAATGGCTTTTTCCTGGATTGCCACTTTCAAGGGGTGTTGATTTGAATCTCTTGGTCATCACCCACTAAAACTGTCAGTGATCTTTTTCAATTTGACAAAAATGTATTTTCTAAAGGAGCCTGATTTGGCAACTTTCTATTACATTGTTTGCAGCTGTTAGATTTCCATATCTGCAGTCGAAAATCAAATTGTAACCGCTGTTTCATACTTATCCTGTCACTGTCATTTGTCATATAGGCTGCAACTGACTTAGCAACGAAAACAGAAATTGCTGGGACAACTCAGCAGGTCTGACTGCATCTGTGGAGAGAAATCAGTCAGTGATTCAGGTCAAGTGACTCTTCCTCAAAACTTGACCTGAAATGTTTACTCTGATTTCTTTCCACAGATGCTGCCAGACCTATCTTTTCCAGAAATTTGTTATTGTTTCTGATTTACAGCATCCACAGTATTTCAGTTTTGACTTATTTAGCACACTTTATGCTGATAAAATAGAAGTTATAATTTGTTTTAGGATCCTGGAATAAACATGACATGTAACATCATGGTGCTAGATAGTTTGGAGCCAAAGGATGTTGTCTCTTGTGGGGCAGGTGAAAACTAGGGAGTGTAGTTTAAGAAGAAAGTATTCTTCTAAAGACACAATCTCTTTTCTCAATGTGTTAGTGTGGAATTCTTCAGTGGAAGCTGGTCTTTAAATTCATTGAAGGCTGAGTTAGATTTTTCACATACAAGAGAATTGAGGGTTATGTGGGCTGACCGTAAAGTAGGCCTGAAGCCATAACCAGATCGGCCATGATCTTATTGCTGAGATGTTGAACCGTTCCAATTTGTATATAAAGCCAGATAATTTCCTTCCAAGGGAACATAGAAAATACACATACAGCATTGCCTAACCTGAAGGTGGACATTACTGTGTTTCAGCTGGGAGAGCTCGGCAAGGGCGCTGGAAAAGGAGGTGGTGGTGGAGGTAGCATAAGAGAAGCTGGGGGTGCATTCGGCAAAAGGGAGGCAGCAATAGAGGAAAAATACTTCAGGTAACTACTTCTACATTGTTGATTTTTGTCACTTGTGACCTGCTGTTTTGTCCCCTCCCCATCCCTGCCCTGATTTAATTATACAATCACCCAATGTGTATAGAATCCTGATGTGATGATTTAGGATCTATTGAATTGAGAGGATGAGGCTGTCTGAAATTGACGAATCTCTGCAACTCTCTGTAAACTGATTAAAATAATCTGTTTTGCTGCCAAGGGTAGTCTACTCTTTGGCTTTGTGTAAAATTTCAATTTAATGGCCTAAAGTGTGTTTCCAATGTATTAAACTCAGCCTGTTGCTTCTGTCATGATGGCAGCCAACTGATGCAATTTGTCACATTTTTACATGCCATGCATCATGAAATGTTTGTTTGAAAGTCCTTATAATCCACAGTTCCTGTTTATTTTATCTATCCTCCTAGTCTAAGATACGACCTCCCTTTTACAGTTTGGATGGGGGTATTTTAAATAATCACATGACTTCCTTCAGACTCAGATGGGGCCTAAATATTCTTGAATAGCTGAGGCTTGTCAGTCATATTTACATTAAGTTCTGCATTTAGTATAGATATACCTGAAAAACAGTTCGTTCACTCTCATGCTTGGTAGTAAGAATTCTGAAAACCAGTTCTAACAATTCAAACTACATCATAAATTGTCAAAAACAGTTTAGCACACCAATTCAGGTGGTGACCCCTGTTAAGAGTCTCAGTTGGCCTGATATCTTAGAACTGCTTTTTTGCAGAAATGTACTATTTTCTGTGATGCAGAAACTGCTTTGGCCTTTGTTTATTTATGGGATGGGTGTGTGTGTCATGGGCTTGGCTAGTGTTATTTGCCCAGTGCTAATTCTCCTGGAGAAGGAGCAGCCTTGAACCACTGCATAAGGATATCCACAGTGCTGTTAAAATGAAAATTCAAGGGTTTGCTTTCGGGAACATGTGGCAATTAGTTTTAGGTCAGGTGAGTGGCTTGGAGGGGAACTTGCAGTTGGTGTACCCATGCATCCACTGCCTTTGTCCTTCTAGGTGGTAGAGTTTGTTTGGAGGGGGCTTATGATAAACCTTGGTGAATTACTGCGGTGCATCTTGTAGATGGTCCTGACTGCTAGTGTTGATGGTGGAGGGAGCGAATCTTGAAGGTGATTATAGGCGTGCCAATGAAGAGGGATGTTTTGTCTTGGATGATGTCAAACTTCTTGAATGTTATTGGAGCTGGACTAATCCAGACAAATGGAGAGTATTCCATCGCATGCCTGACTCACCTTGTAGATCATATTTGCATTTCAGGGAGACAGGAAGTGAGATCATGCCCAAGTTACCAGCCTCTCTCTGAATCTTGTGGCCACGGTATTTACTTGGCCAATTTCTGGTGAATGGTAACCCCCTAGATATTGATAGTGGAGGAAAAAATACAGTAAATGGAAACATGCACCCCAATTACTTCCATTTAATCTATTCCAAAACAAGATTGCCAATAGATTGAAACCCAAAATTTCCACCTTTAATTTGGCAATATCAATTTAGCACAGGACTAACTTAGCTCAGGCTGTTTATGCCAACAGTCTTAAAAACCAGCAGTTAGACTAGATCCCAGACTTCCATAACGCATGTTGGATTATTACTTGATAGTTGTAACTGGAACCAACAACATGTCTGAATCATATTGGCATAATGAATCCTGAGCACCCAGGTAGTGGTCAATCTTAGCTCCTATCTAAACTTTGTATGTATGGGTTTAATGAACTGAGAGAAGCTTCTCCAATTTTTGCTCACATCACTGGGTCTCCAAGATATTGAGAAGTTTCTTTCGAAGCAAGATTCCCACTGGTTCTTGATAACAGTTCCTTTAAGGTCATTTAGCATAATGCAACACTTGCAGTTCATGACTGCCCAATTGCTCAGGTCTATTGCTGAAACGAAATGTGGCCCTTTGCCTTTTCAAATGTACACCTTCTTAGCTATGGCTTGAGAAAAGCAATCTCTGATGCATGATACTTAGCAAAATGCTTTTTCAATACCTACCAGGCCATTGAGGATGATTCTGTTTTGCAGGGAAAAGGAAATGGAACAGATTGAAAATCTGAGGAAACATCATCAAGAGGAGATTAACCATCATGAGCAGGAAATACAGCGTTTACAGAATGAGATTAAACGCCACAAGCATCAGATCAAGAAGCTGAAGCATGATGGCTATGACAGTGACTAGATTTCTAATGTTTCTGTGTTGCTTAGATTATCTCAATCATAGCATTAATGGTGGACTCATAATTGTGCTTGAATGTAAATTGTTAAATAAAAATACACTGTTCACTATCTCAAACTTAGTACTTTGTAGACAACTTTTGCACACGGCCTCAGCACTTTGCATATTTTTTTGATTGTCTGAGCCTTTTCCTCTGGATAGGGGAGTCCAAAATTAGAGGGCATAGGTTTAATGTAAAAGGAGAGATTTTTAAGAGATCTGAGGGGCAAGTTTTCCATATACAGGGTGCTGCCAGTGTGGAACGAATTACCAGAGGAAGTGGTACAGGTGGGTACAATGACATCATTTTAACAGACATTTGGACAGGTTCATGGATAGCAAAGGTTTCGAGGGATATGGGACTAGTTCATTCTGGGGAAACATGGTCGGCATGAATGAGTTGGGGTAAGGGGCCTGTTTCCATGCTGTATAACTACAAACTGTTATCTATGTGGGTTACATAGACCTGCATTTGCAATTTTGGGCCATTAAAGTTCTACAGTTTTAATATCATTACTTGACCTGATGTTGGTAACAGTAATTCTAAATGTAATTATTGAAAATAATTTTAGGCTTAGGAGTAACTGTTACTCCAGTAAGACTTAAAAGTGTGACTAGTTTCTTAGCAATGCTGAAGAATTTTGATATCTGGACAGTTTTCAGTTAGCAGTAGCAGTAATGTAAAAATATAGCACATCTTTAATTTTAATTGGGGGAAAGATGGTGAATTAGTGGTAATGTTACTCGACTAGCAGTGCAGGGAACAAGGCTAGTGTTCTGGGTTCATCAAATCCCATAATTTGTTCAATTAAATTAAATGAATAAATTTGGAATACAAAAGTTAGTTGATATTGAATTCACCAATGTCCTTTTTAAGGAAATAATTTGCTATTCTTATCCAGAATGGACTGTACTTCAGACGCTCTGCAATGTGGTTGACTCTTAACAATCCTCAGGTAACCTGGTAGGCTATTTAATTCAATAGTCAAAGACAGGCAACAAGTTCTGGTTTTGCTGGTGTTGCCCATGACCTGTGAAAGAGGAAGCTGCCAACTCTTATGAAAACCAAAGGACATTTGATCATAATATTATGCATTGAATAAGCTGCAGTAAAATGTGAACAAATTTACATCCGGACTGATGTTTTGGTTTCAAGAAGCCATTTTTGTAGAATATGCCATCTGCTTGGTTTTTCTGCATTCAGAAGATATTGAGGTATTAAGTGATACAGCAGAGTGGGAAATATTGGTTAAACAGCCATGTAACAAAGCACTGAGCTTTATGAACATGAAGCTCATTCTCCTGACCTTGCTGGGGCATGGGAGTAGATGCCTGGTGCAGGGTTGGTTGGACAAGAATTTAGAGCTTTTAGATGACTGCCAACTGCTATCAGCATTTAGAGTATCAAGTTGACTATGCTGCAGATAAATGCTTGTCTTTTAGGCAATTTAAAAAAAAAAAAAAGCTTTGGATAACAGTTTCTGCAGTGATCGGAGGCCAGATGTTTGCTTCTCTCTCCCAGAATTTGTGCTCCTCACTTTTTGGACTATAAGATGGCAAGCAACTTGGAATTACCACATCTAATTCATGGACTTGTGGTTAGATGTATGTTGTATTTTCCACAGTGGTGAGTTGGGTATGCCATTGTGATGTCTGATGTTTTCTGTCTGATCAAATACTCAAACATTTTGGGTCAAGGTGAATGAGAGGCGAGAGTTATAACCTGTATGCTTTTTGATAATTTGGTACTTGAATCTGCAGTGCCTAAATGACCATTCGTGGTTCTTACAACAAGTTGAAAGAATGCACCGTTTCCTTTTTTAATCCCATTCGCCACTAATGTTAAGTTTAATATAGTTGGTGATATGGCCAATTCTCTGGGTTTCAGACTGTCAGGTTTAGTATTAAAAACAATTCTGTCATGTTTCTTCCATCAAATAAGTAAAAGGTTTACTACCATAAACTTACATCAATAAAGGCTATGAACAAATAATTTGGATTAAGCAAATGTAGTTTTTCTACAAAATTGTAGATCTAACAGAAGTCTGGAGAGAAACAATAAAAATGAAAAAGAAACTGCACAGTGTTTAAGGTAGTTTGGCCAAGTAATAATTAAATTGATAAGGAAAAGTCATGGATTGTCTCAAGTAGTTGACTGATTCTGGTATTCTGCACAAGCTGTAGGCACTGTAGTTTCTGCATGGATCAGTTGTAGAAGGATGAATTTCCTTTTCTTTAAACTAATCCTCTCCAGGCGTCCTCCATGACTAGTAAAGATGACTTCTGGTGGGTTTTCAGCTCGTTCACTGCAGAAAGTAATTGCAAGGAAAGGAAAAAAGATAGGTATGCTGCTGCTGTTTGCTCAAATTTGCTCTAATTTCAAAGATACAGTAGTCCTTCGAGAAGACTTATAGCTTGGGTTAGGGATGAGGTTGTAGACATACTCGCTGAGCCGGTAGGTTTGACTGCAAACATTTTGTCTCACTGCTAGATAATATTGTTAGTGTGGCTCCGGTGAAGCGATGGTGTTCTGTCCCACTTGTTATTTATATGCCTCAGTTTGTTGGGGTGTTTGGTACCACTTCCAGTTCTGTTCTTAAGGGGTTTGTACATGGTCTAATTCGATGTGTTTGTTGGTGGAGTTCCAATTGGAATACCAGGCCTCCAGGAATTCCCTGGCTTGTGCGATTATGGATGTGTTGTCCCAGTCGAATTCATGTCCCTCTTTGTCCATGCGTAGTGGGACAAGTGAGGATTGGTCATCTCTCTTGGTGGCTAGTTGGTGTTCATATATCCATATTGTCAGTTTTCTTCTGGTTTGGCCTATGTAGTGTTTCTCACAGTCCTTGCATGGTAAATGTATATTACACCAGTTTTGGGTAAGGGATCCTTTACGCTCGTCAGTAGCTGTCGCGGGGTGGTTGTTGGTTTGTGGGCTATCCTGATACCCAGAGGTCGGAGTAGTCTTGTGGTCATCTCTGAAATGTCCTTGATGTACAGTAGGGTGATTAGTGAATCTGGTCGTGTTGTGTCTTCCTGTTGTGGCCTGTGTCTCGGAGGTAACGGCAGATTTTGCTTTTCAGGTATCCGTTCCTTTTGAAGACTCCCTTTAAGTGCTCCTGTACTGCTTTGCGTAGTTCCAGGGTGCTGCAATGTGATGTGGCTCATTTAAATAGTGTCCTGATGCAGCTCCGTTTGTGGGCGTTGAGGTGGTTGCTAGTGTAATTGAGTATCTAGTCCATACGTGTCATCTTTCTGTATATCCTAGTCTGCAGTTCCCCGTTGTTTTTGCATTCTACTGTTATGTCCAGGAAGAGTTGTCAGTTGTTGCTCTCTTCTTTTGTGAATTTTATCCCAGTAAGGATATTGTTTGTGTTGGTGGGTTTCTTCTAGTTTTGTGCGTTTGATAATCATGAAGGTGTCATCTATATATTGGAACCAAAGTTTGGGTTCTATATTGTTATATCAATAACAAGCGGGACAGAACTTGAACGCTTCACGGAAGGTGCACTGACAACGTTACCTAGCAGGGTGACGAAACGTTTGCAACCAAACCCACCAGTTCAGCAAGCATGTCTACAATCTCCATCCCTAACCTGAGCTATAAATCTTCTCAAACATTAAACACCTACGGGCATGACACCCTCAAACTGACCCGCAAGTGGGAAACAAATGCCATCTGGCTGAGCATGACCCACGAACAACTATACTTGCTGCATGAATGCCTCCGAAAGTAGATACTACCACAAAGCTTAAAATGTAAACCACTTATGAACAATCCACAGGCACAGAGGACAGCTGAACAGACCGATAAGGGTTATGATCAACGATACTCAACTGCCTCCACAAATACAAGCAGGAAATTGCACACCAAAAAACTCTGTACTCCAACGCAATTGACCAGGATTGGACATCCACACTGGAACAAGCCATCAGCATACAACAACAAAAGACCAGCATACAGGAAATAAAATGGCCTGATAGGAAAAACTGTCCAAAATCGCGCACAACAATGACATGGACAACACAGATTCATGGATTGAAAAAATCTCGGACCAACCACTTACAGACACTGAGAAGACAGTCCTAGTATGTGGACTGAATCATAACTACAGAGACGCCAATAAAACTGACTTCCTGGCTGCGCTGGAATAGACACTAAAGAACAATGGATTCATGGAAGAAATACAACAGACCATCAGACAAACAATAGTCTCAACACTGAGCCAAAAAGGTAAGTAGAACACATTCAACACAACAGAGGAAAGCCCTGGAAAAACTCAAGAAAGACAAGAACATTGTAAACTTACCAGCAGAGAAAGGAAGCATGGCAGTAATCCTCAATAGAGCCAAATACATCAAGAAAGCTCATGCACTACTAGCAGATACTGGCACCTACCAACAGTTAGTGATAGACCTGACAACAGAGTGAGGGAACCGGATTACAACGACCCTGAAGAAATTACACAACTCGGGAGACGTCAGCAAGACAGACTACCAAAAAATTTAAAGCCAGAGGGATCCGACACACCCTGATTCTATGGACTTCCTAAAGTACATTCACTGGGTGTGCCCCTCAGACCCATTGTCTCCCTGCCAGTTACACCAACATATAGACTTGCCAAAGAACTGCAACAGAAATTGAAATACTTAGTTGATAACACTACCCACTCCATCCACTCCTCCTAAGAATTCCTCAACATCATCAAGGACACCAGGATAGAAGAGGACGAGATGATGATATCCTTCAATGTAACAGCACAATTTACATCCATAAACATCGACCTAGCCAAAGAGATAATTGTCAGACTATTGGACAAATCAAGTCGACAGGCACCCTAGGACACCAACAACATCAATAAGGATACCACCATGAAGGGGGGATCCCCAATATCAGGACTGATTGCAGAAGCAGTAATGCAAAGGTTAGAATGAACAACACTCCCCACTATACAACACAAACTTTGATTTTGATATGTAGATGACATTTCTGTGATTATCAAACACACAAAACTAGAAGAAACCCACCAATATATAAACAATATTTCCACTGGGATAAAATTCACAAAAG